CGGACAAACAAACGTCCTTTTCGAGGCAGAGGAGGTTGCCCATTCTGTAGGTCAAGGTGACTTGGGGTGGACCCCTCCCATAGGCGGCAGACTGACTTATTACATTCTCAAATGGGAGAACACTACCATGGACGCTTGGGTGCTCACCACCATCTGGGACAACTTGTCCCTGGAATTCGTGACAACTCCCCCTTGACACTACATCACCTGTCCCCAGTCGCGGAATCCCGTAAAAAAGGGCCTCATGCAGAAAGCCATTCAACATCTCTTAAGCATAGAGGCCATAGAGCGGGTACCATCGGACCAACTGGGGCTGGGGTTTTACTCCATCCTATTCGTAGTACCAAAATCTTCACGGGGATGGAGGGCGAAACTGTACCTCAAGGTTCTAAACTTGCATCTGTCATATCGCAGGTCAAGATGCAGACACTTCAATCCATTTTGGCCAGCGTACGGCAGGGGGACTTCCTGACATCAGTAGACCTTACAGAGGCATACCTTCACATCCCCATTCATCCAAATCACAGAAAATTCCTCAGGTTCAGGTACTCCAACCATCACTTCCAATACAAGGTTCTCCCGTTCGGCCTATCATCGGCCCCCAGGGTTTTCACCAAGGTCCTGGCGGTACTAGCCGCACATCTCAGGTCGGTCCCAATTCGCGTTCAGTGCTACTTGGACAACATCCTCTGCACCGAACACACTGACGGACATGGAGCTAACCATAGGGAAGCTTCAAAATCATGGTTTCTTAATCAATTTTCAAAAGAGCCACTTGTCTATTGCACAGGCGCTATAATAGACACAACCATTTGTCAAGTATTCCTGTCGCAAGAGCGCCAAGTCAGCATCCGTACTCTGGTCATCAAGGTCCGCAGGGAACAACAAGTGACCCTAGCCCTGCTCTCCCAACTGTTGGAGAAACTAATTTCCTGCATTGCCATAATTCCTTGGGCCAGACTTCACACATGACAGCTCCAGTGGTTCTTACTTCCCTACAAAAGGCGGGCAATAAGCTCCTTTCCCCAGAGGGTAAGAGTTCCAGCACAGACGCTCAGATCCCTTCTCTGGTGGTTCTCCCCAGCTTTGTCCAAGGGATCCCTTTTCAGAGAGCCCGTTCGTGTGACCTTGACCACAGACACCAGTCTATTCGGCTCAGGGGCACACCTCCAACTTCAATTTGCCCAGGGCCGGTGGTCCCAGCGAGACCTCAGACAAAACATCAACTGGCTGGAACTCAGGGCTATGGGCCTGGCACTTTGCCACTTCCACAGAACCATCATTTGATGCCATGTGTTGGTCCTGATGGACAATGTGGCAGCAAAGGTCCATGTCAACCGGCAGGGCGGTACTCGATCATGGGCCCTGATGTCCGAGGCCCAGTTACTGGGATCACGGGCGGAGTGGAATCTTCTTTCCCTGAAGGTGGAGGCGAACTGGCAAGCGGATTATCTGAGTCGCTCTATGGTAGATTATTCAGAATGGAGTCTGCATCCATGTCTCTTCAGAGAGATTGCGCAGTGGTTCAGTCAACAGAGTGTCGACCTATTCGCCTGCCCGGTGAACGCTCAGGTCCCACAGTTCTTCTCCCGTTTCCCCTCCCAGGGGTCGGAGGGAATAGACGCTCTCTGCAGCCCTTGGCCTGGGGGACTGCTATATGCCTTCCCACCATTTCACCTGATTCCGGCGGTCATCAGAAAACTATTACAGGAACAAGTGGCCATATTTGTGGCCCCACACTGGCTGAGGCGACCATGGTTCGCAGATCTCATGAGCCTCGCTGTAGCTCCTCTGTGGAGGATTCCTCCAGAGCAGATAATCCTGCTACAGGGGGTCATATGACACCCAGACTCACAGTCGAGGATACTCGACTATCTCTTGGAAGGCGTGGATAAGGGCCTAGCACCCAACACTATTCGTAGGCAGGTGGCGGCTCTCTCCACGATTTTCACCTGTGCCAATTCTGCGCCGTTGTCTCAACACCCGAGGGTTTGATCCTTTATCAAGGGGGTTAAAAAGAGTAAGCCTCCTGTAGTCCATCATTACCCCACTTGGGAGTTACCACAGGTTCTACAGGCTCTTACAGGAACCCCTTTTGAACCCATCAGATCTTGCACTCTGCGACACTTGTCCCTTAAAGTGGCCTTAATAGCAGTGACATCGGCAAGGCGCGTCTCGGAATTAGCAGCTCTTTCTGTGAGGGAAGACCTATGCACCTTTCAACAGGACAGAGTGGTCCTATGGTTGGACTCATTATTCATTCCCAAGGTTAACACCTTATTCCATAGGCCCAGGAGGTTGTATTACCGGAGTTTTGTCCTAACCCATCACATGACTTAGAGAGGCAATGGCATGCTCTAGATGTCTGCAGGGCCCTGCGATATTATATTAAATGGACAGCTGCCTTTCGTAGATCGGAGGCGCTTTTTGTATCTTTCCATCCGGCTTCTAAAGGTCAGAAGGTCTCTTCCTCTACTATTGCCAGGTGGATCAAGGCCTGTATCGCGGAGTCGTATCGGGTACGCTCCCTGCCTGTTCCAAGCCGTCTGACAGCACACTCCACATGCAGTGCCTCTACATCAGCTGCGTGGCACACTCAGGCTTCTATCATTGACATTTGTAGGGCCGTGACATGGTCTTCGCCTTCCCCCTTTATCCGTCATTACAGGCTTGATAAATTTGCCTCTGCAGAGGCCTCCTTCGGCTGGCATGTTTTACAGCAGGTGGTTCAGTCAGCGTCGACACTTGACCAGCCTGTTTCCCACCAGTAGGGTCATATGGGCTTTGGTATGTCCCATTCGTGGATTCTCCATTCTTTTCCATGCTGGAGAAGGGGCGTTGTCTTACTTAATCGCCTTTTCTCAGCATGAAGAATGGAGAATCCACCCTCTCCCCTTTTTGAAATTCACAGTCAGATCAGTGTCAGTAGCTGGGAGCCAACACATCACACAGTTTTTAGCTTTGCCCTTTTCGAAACAAGGTCCAGTCCAGCAGGGGCGTGGCAACTTGATTGATTTGGTCTGATTGGACTAGAGGACTTCTTTAACCCATTCATGGATTCTCCATTCTTCATGCTGAGAAAAGGCGTTCAGGTAAGACAACGCCCCTTTTCTATTTCCTGGCAAGCAATAGAATTTATTTTATTTACACTATTTTATATTCTTCTATTAGTTCCTTTAAAATGAAAAGGCAAGATAAAAATGGTAAAATGAATGAGTAAATTGGTAATTTCAAAATTCAAGCAATGTGTATGAGGGATTTTGGAGTCGGAGATAAGATTTAACTTTGCAATATTTTTGCAATAAATCCAGAAATCAAAAAGTGAATAAATTGCATTGCAGAAAAAGAAAGAAGGCAATGATGATGGTCCTCTTTTAATAAAAGAGAAAGGCAATCTAGAAATGTGTCAATACTAAGTTTCTTAATTTGTTTTCAGTGCATTTATGGTTTTATTGTGACCTCTTCTGGTGTACTATCAGTATTACATGAGATAATTTCCTGTGTGCCTTACGAAATATGAATGATACTACTAATATATTTGAATGTGCATAGGTAGATGGATCATTCGCTTTTAACACATTATCTCACTGCAGCAGGAATGAAATCAAATGTGAAAGTGAATTTTTCAGCAGCAAATATAGATTATGGAAAAGCAGACTAATTTGTGTTGTTAGAGACAATATTCAAATAAATTTAAGAATGTTAAAGCTCCTATATAAGGAACTCTTAGGCTTTCAGTACTCTTGCAGAATCTATAATATTTCTGAGTTAGAATTTCTCAGAAGTATTAAAATTGCAGAAGGCCCAGTTTATGGAGCAGAAATTATGGACTTTTTATATATTTGCAGTACTTGTTTGCTTAAAGCAGACATGTCAAACCCGTGACATCAAGTGATGTCGCGCAACGTATCGGGACGGTTTTGCCATTGCCGGCAATGGGGTAGGCGTGGCTTCCGCATGATGCGTCCGACCCGCAGGCTGGCAGTTTGACACCCTGGCTTAGAGAGCTTACAAACTCACAGTTTCATTGTAAAGCTCTGAATGTCCTTTGCATTCAGGGACTTCGGGCTGGGCTGGGAATTGTAGGTGTCACTATATACAGTTGTGTATACTTAGTGCTTTATCTAACCACTTTATGAAGAAAGAGAAATGGGGAGCTGTCTTCATAATTTAGACCATACTGGGACAGGTTTTGGGTTCAATATAAATTAATTTCTGATTTTAGAATTTATAGCTAATATGTATTCCTATCATTTGATTATCAGATGAAATTATCTTTTATGATACAGGCAGTGCTCATTTACTGACCATTTCTTCAGCTACCATTCAAAGTTACAATGGCATTGAAAAAGGAGACTTACAATTGGCCCTTGAAGTTGCAGCTGTCCTTCACGATGTCTCCATAGTCACATGATTGCAATTTGAGTGCTTGACAACCCACATACGTTTGCAATGGTTGCAGTGTCCCACAACTGCACGATCACCATTTGCAGTGTTCTCAACTGGCTTTTCACAAGCAAAGTCAATGAGAAAGCCAGTAGGAAGTCACAAGTCACAGTCATGTGATATTGCACGTAATGACCCACACTTATTTGTTTATCAACCACAGTTGGAACTGATGTCATAAGTTAGGGCTGTCACATGGCATCACGGTTAATGATCACCCTGCTTAGTAACAGAGTTGCTGGTCTCTATTGCAGTCAGTAAGTGAAGATTATAGATATTGGATGGTTTCAGTTAACAGTATTCAGTAATGTTTACCTATTCAATGGAGTAGAATTAAATTTTATATTTGCGGGTAATAATTTAACTGGATGTCACTCAAAGGGAAACATATTAAATTTGAATCGGGGTCAGTATACTTTTAAACTTGACTATGTATGTTAGAACTATAATATTGTTATAATACCGATACAGAGATATGCAGCTAATACTAGTGTGGTCCATTGTATACAGGATTCAAAATATTCTAACACTATGTATGATTTCTTGTTTTACAGGTAAAAGCCACTGCTGCATGTAAGTACTATGCTGTTATATAGCCCACTTTCTGTATTACACTTGAAGGTTTTCCCAGAATCTACACTGATGTTTCTGTATTTGTATAAATGCTTAAAACCACATACTTCTATAAGAGGTCTAGGAAAGATCATTATATTTAACCTATAATTTGAAATACACTGCTGTTCACCATAACAAGTTTATTGAATGTTGAAAGAGTAACATTATAAACTTCATATACAGAGGTAAATGGGCTTACGTAGCATGCTAAGCTATGATTAAATTTGTTTGTTAAAATAAACTAGTCCTCATCTTACTACTGCAATTGAGCCCAGAATTTATGTTGCTAAGTGAAACATTTGTTAAGCGAGTTTTGCCCCATTTGACGACTTTTCTTGCCACAGTTGTTAAGTGTCTCACTGGAGTTGTTAAATTAGTAACATGGTTGTTAAGCGAATCTGGCTTCCCCATTGACTTTGCTTGTCAGAAGGTCACAAAAGCTGATCACATGACTCCTGGACACTGCAACCGTCATAAATACATGCCAGTTGCCAAGCGTCTGAATTTTGATCAGTGACCCTGGGGATGTTGCAACAGTGCTATGTGTGAAAATGGTTATAAGTGACTTTTTTCAGTGCTGTTATCACTTCAAACGGTCAATGTTATAATGAGCTAAATAAGTGGTTGTAAGTCAAGGACTACCTATACAGTTGATTGGGTTCACACTATATGCTAGGCCCAAGCTAAATAAATCACATTTGTAAATCTAGATGTATTGGCTGGGTACTACCTAAACCAGCCTTTTACTGTCTGATATCCATGGGAATGTAGTATCTGCCATCAGAGGAAGAAATAATCAGGACAATATTGGAATGTGCAGAGATGGACAGATTAATTATGAGGTTGAAAGACAAAGATACAGACTACTATCAAATTTGGAATTTATTTTATTCTTGGTTAGAGAAAAGAATGAAGGATTAGGAATTGAACATGTATTAGCTTAGCAAACTTCAGACAACTTGTTGATTGGAAAAATTAACATATGTTGATAAAAAAAATTAATAAAAAAAGAGAATGTAGCATACCTTGTTCATTATGTGCTTTGTAAACAGACTAGTGAAAAATGCATTAACAGTCTATCAGTACTATATATACCTCCTAATCTTAACAGCATCATCCCTTGTGCAGTTCATGATATCTGGAGCTTGTATAAATTATAAACTGTTTCCCCCACCAATTAATAAACAATAAAAACTGAATGATGTTTCATTAAATTACGAAATTACGAAAATCTGGTTACTTTAAAATATCTTTGTCTCTTTTTTTCTGTGTAGGTGATACCGAATGCAGTCTCTTAAATGATGTAACAGTAACAGAAACAACAATAAGGCTCCAGTTGAACAATAGTTCTGCAAGAATGAGTGCAACATTTCAAAATGGATCAACTGTAGGTGATTCTGGGAACAATTCAATATCTGGGCTTTATCCTGGTCTTCAGTATATCATTCATTTCAATAATACTATTGAAGCTTGCTGCAAATACATTTTTACAAGTAAGTAATGGATTAGAAATTACACAAAACTAGTTTTCAGGATCATTCTGATAGGATTATTATTCTAACATTTTAGAATAAAATGTATAGTAGGTAACTTGAACTCATTCAAATGAACTAATAATTAGCTCATGGTTAAGAGATCACAGCTTCCCCCCCCCCCCAGAACTAGGTGTAGCCAGTGAGAAAATGAGACCTGGATTTAGTTTTGTCAGTATTGCCTGAATATCAGACTTCCTTTGGCTATCTACACAAGAAACTACAAAAAATAAGATTTCCAAAGATACCAAGTGTTTGATAAGTAGATATATTGTCACAAAGTTCATGAAAGAATTGTGAAAGAATTCCCGGAACTAGGTTTTAAGTGCAAGCCTTATTTATAATGTAATCAAAGTTCAGATTTTTCTATCTTTTCCTCCTTCCGACTGTGTGAGAAGTGATTCTCATAATTAACATTTGCCACCGTAAGGTTTTGAATTAGCAGTTATGCCTGGATATGTCATGAAAATTAAGTTGTAGCACACTCAGATAACACAGCAAATCAAAAGCCATCTATTTACACCAGTTGCCTCCCATCTCACAATATCTGTTGATGCAGTCATCCATTAATTGTTTGTTTTCAGGTTGTTGTGTGTTCTAAACAGAGCACAGTTACCACTTCCAAGAATTTTGGTTTGTAAAGTTTTAAGCTGAGAACTTTTGTTCCCTAACCCCAAATAGTTTAGCTCAGAAACCTCTGCTGGCAGAAGGATTTCTCATCCTCCCTCCCTTAATAATTTTTAATACGCTTCTAGAAGAGGCCCCCATCTCTCAGAAACAGTTACACTGGTGATGAGTGGAAGACCTGAAAGACTACCTGAGTGATAGATCAGCAAATATGTGTGGTCACTAATAGTTGACATCCATTTGATGACACATAATCAAACAAACAATATGGAACTGGAGGGTAAGGTGGAAAAACTGTTACACATTGCCAGCTTCCCTGTTTAACCCAGTGGAAATTCCTTGCTAGATCTAAAACTTCTAGTCTGTACTTGTTCAGTCCAACCAATTATAAGTTTTATAGCACTTGTTAGGAAACTCGGGGGGGTGGGAATAGTAAAACTAACTCTTTCAGACTCACACATTCTTCTCTTTTACCTGTTCTTGTCATTGCCTGTTGTATCCTTATTCAATAGGTTTCCCCCCAAAGAAGTGGAAGCCAGCCCTTTTCTTGGTTCTCTCTGTTTTGGCAATTTTCTAAGTGTGAACTTGGAATTAAGTACAAATCTTTTAAAAAGGTTCCTTTTGTGGCTGGAGCAATTACGGTGAATTCCTTCATTTCCTGTTTCTTACACTCTCTGATCACGACTGTCTTGTGGCTTCCTGGTAAGGAGCAACCATAAGGAAAATAGCTTGGGCAATCTCATGTCCTTTCTCTGTCCAGAGAGTGTCAAAGTAGCCAATCTCTTCGTAGGCATTCTGTTTGTGGTCACAAACATCAGCTCCGCTTTCCACAGAACAGTCTTCAGCCCACCATCTTCCCCTGAAGTCCAGAAGCAAACAGACTTTCCATTATTAGAGAAGGGGCAGATGGAAATCTCTCTTCCCATTCAACAGAGAGCAGCTTCAAGATCATTACATTGAATGCACAGGGCAAAAATGTGCAAGAATTTAAATCTTGATATTATAGTAAATAGGGCTTGCATTTGATACATAGTAGTTGCTGGAATTCTTTCATAAAGATTTTATTATCATTTTTACAGTATGCCATGGTAACAGACGCCTCATAGATTAATTGCTTAAATTTTTGCTGCACTACTTAAAACAAATCTTATCTCCAAACAGGTTGTATAGGGATTGTAAATTACATTTTCTTTCTTGTCTTATAAAAATATAATTGCATGCCACAGGATAAGATTTCAGCCTGAAACTTTCAGATGTAGAAATAATTAAGTTTTGCTAATCCTAATATTAGTATTATGACATGTGTTTATTACGTTCTGCTTCTAAAGTCTTTTTTAATAAAAAGTTTTTATTTTCCATTTATTCAACATAATACCATTTACAAAATAAGATGAATTCATAACCATTGGTGCCGCCTGCTCATTCCCCCCAGGCTGCGTCCACCCTCTCTAATACTTCCCTACTTCCCTCCTCTTTCTCTCCTCCCCTCCCACTCTCTTCCCTCCCCTTCTCCTCTTACCATCCTACTTCCTCCCTGCACCTTCCTCCCCTCTCATCCCTCCAAACACAGGAACACAGCATAGGGGAAATGCCCAAGCAGCACCTCTCTCATAAACTACCATATCTATATTATCCTTACCCACCCATTCACCCACCCACCCACCCTCGACCCTCCCCCCCTGCACTTCCCAGAGCAGAGTACAGGGTTATTAATAAAAAAAATATACAATAAAAAAAGAGAAAAAAAGAAAAAAGGAAAGGAAAGAAAAAAAGAAAAAAAATCATACTTAGCCCTTAACTCCCCTTAAATTACATCATCATAAACAAATCTTCTACAACATTTACTATAAAATTTACTCATAAAATAAATGAAACTTTGTAGTCCCATACTTTTTCTGAATATAATCTATCCATCTTTTACATACAATAATATATCTTTCTTCAAATAAGCAGAAATTTTTGCCATTTCTGCAAAATTAGAAACTTTAAATATCCATTCTTCTAAAGTAGGCAACAAATCTTTCTTCCAATATGAGCCTACTAGTAACCTTGCAGCAGTTAATAAATTCGACATTAAAATAGTTTCTTTGTCATTTAAGTCCACAAAAATACCCAATAAGAATAATTGAGGAGTAAACTTTATCTTCCTTTTAAAAATCTTTTGAATGTTCCACCAAATCATAATCCAAAAAGCCTTTGCTTCTAAAGTCTTAATATGGGTGATAAAATGGCCATGTGTTCTTTTAACTTGTAATAATATTAAACGTCCTTTTAATTGCCATACCTTAAAATGGTATCACAGTACTAGAAACAGTGAAAAAGAGAAGAGTTATATACTAACAAATCATAATCTGGGTTGGTAATACTTAATGATATGGTAAGATTTTAATTCTCTCATCAAAGAAAATTGTTTTCTGTTTCTTATACAGAGCCAGGTCCTGTTCACAGTATTCACGCTGAAAATATCACCAACACAACTCTGAACTTAAGTTGGAAAAATGATGATATAAATGCATCCAATTACACTTACCGAATAGATATTGATGGACTGGGTGATTTGCGTAATAAAAGTTCTAATAAATGGAGTGTGCCAATTAGTAACTTACAACCTGGAACGTCATACAGATTTAAAATATATCCACAAGTAGATGGCGGTAAGACTGAAGGAAACCCAAATGAAGCAGTTGTTTACACCAGTAAGTACACTTATTTAAGTGAAGTGATTGTAGTAGTTAGTGCTTTTGGCTATTAAATGAGCTTCAGTAATTATTATATCACTCTCCTTTATCACCATCTAAAACTAAATGCAAACTGGTTTTATAGAGGTAAGTGCGTAAGCATATGATTAATTTCAGAAGTGCTTGGATTCTTTGTTAATATCTCATGCACTACATCAATATACTTTTATTTTATTTACTGATAAAAATATTTCTGTTTTTTCACAGAACCAAATCCAGTTTCTAGTATCCATGCTAACAATCCCAATTCCACATCAATAATTCTGACTTGGAACAATGAAGATGTAAATGCTTCTAGCTATATTTACAAAATATTTAACAAAGGACCTGATTTTCATAATGATGCCTTTTCTAATACTGGAAATATAACATTCAGTAATTTGCAACCTGGAACATTATATAGCTTTGAAATAGCTGCACAAATAAATGGGACCAATACTACAGGAGACACAAAAGAAATAAATCTTCGTACAAGTAAGTACCTTAAATTAACAGATGCAGTTAGCTTGACTCTTACTTGGATGTTTTTATTTTGTTTAACCTTTCCATATGTTAAATCTAGGTTACAATAATAATACTTTCGGTTTCTGGTAAAATAAAGCCACTCTTTTCTTTCTTAAAACAAAAACTCTCCACTTTTTGCATTTTAACTGAAAACTTCAATGTCACAAAAAGTGGATTTATCTTGGAGGAATATCTTGTGCTTCTTACTGTACTTGCACATCAGATCTAATCCTATCATGATAAAGGCAGAATCTTGGGTATTTGGGTTGAGTGAGCTTAGAATTTTCTGTATATTGTAGCACTAGGGTACACTAGTTACGACCACAATTGAGCCCCTTTATGTGGCGAACTGAAACATTTGTTAAGTGAGCCCATTTATGTGGCTAAGTGAAACATTTGTTAAGTGAGTTTGTCCCATTTTATGATTTCTTGCCACAATTGTCAAGTGAATCGTTGCATTTTAAGTTAGTAACACGGTTGTTAAGTGAAACTGGCTTCCCTGTTGACCTTGCTGGTCAGAAGGGACCAAAAGGCGATCACACGGCCCCAGGACATTGCAGCCATCATAAATATGAACCAGTTGCCAAGCGTCTGAATTTTGATCATGTGACTATGGGAATGCTGCAACGGTCGTGTGACAAATGGTCATAAGTCACTTTTTTCAGTGACGTTGTTATTTTGAATGGTCTCTAAATGAACTGTTGTAAGTCGAGGATAACCTGCAGTAGTTATTGGAAAAAATTAAGCTATGCTTCAATTGACACAAAAGTGATGTTCTTATCTTTCTGTTCGATGGAAGGAAACTGAAGTAAAAGTGAAATAAAAGTGAGGCAAATACAACTGGGGGGAGTGGAGGTGGGGAATAAATGGGCAAAGTATTATTCCATGCCTCTTTCAGTTTATTTTACATAACGTTCTTTGAAAATCTAAATAGGATTTTATATCTGTCAGTGTAATTGACAATTTGGCACATACTCCATTCCTAATCCAAGATAATTTGAAACAAATATTTAATTGTTTTTCTTAAACTGAGCCCAATCCAGCTTTTCAGTCATCATCCAAAGCATTAATATTATAATGTTATAATAAACCCCTAATTTGTCAAAATTATTAAGTAGAGACATATTGTATGTTGTGCGAACTAAAAATTTGCATTTTACATGATGATTTCTAACCCTACAGAAAAAATGCTAAATATTTAATCTTGATTATCATTCAGTATGTAAAAGCCTTTTTTCTCTTAAACAGAGCCCAGTCCAGTATATGATATTAAAGCTGAAAACATCACTAATGCATCCCTGGATTTAACATGGAAAAATAATGATACAAATTCATCAAATTACACTTATCGAATATCTATTGATGGACCTGGTCGTTCTGATAATATAACTTCTAATACTACCTATGTATCAATTTCTGACTTGGAACCTGGAACGTCATACAAGTTTGAAATATATGCACAGGTTGATGGTAATCAAATTGAAGGGGATCCAAATGAAATAAATGTTTATACAAGTAAGTGTGTTAAATTAAGACATGTGAGGTATATTTCATTATTACATAAAATATTTATATAAAATATGCAATGAGGTATGATTTCATCTGTCTGCATGTGCACTACATCTGTAAAAATTATACATTTCTGAACAAAAAAGGATACCATGTATAGTATGCTGGAAAACTCTTTCCAGCATACTATACATAGGAAAGTATAAGTACAGATATTCCTCAGTTTACAACAGTTCATTTAGTGATGATTCAGAGTTACAATGGCACTGAAAAAAGTGACTTGTGATGTTTTTCACACTTCCTGCCATTGTAGCATCCCCAGGGTCACATGATCATCATTTAGACACTGGGCAACTCACTCATGTTTATGACGACTGCAGTGTCCCAGAGTCATGTGATCAGTTTTTGCAACCTTCTGACAAGCAAAATCAATGGGGAAGCCAGATTCACTTAACAGCTGTGTTAGTAACTTAACAACTGCAGTGATTCACCTAGCAACTGTGTCAAGAAAGGTCATAAAATGGGGCAAAACTCACTTAACAAATGTTTCACTTAGCAACATAACTTTTGGGCTCAATTGTTGTAATTGACTACCTGTATATTGTGCTACGTCTAAAGGATATTATTTGCATATTACCATAGTGGAGTAAGAAGCAATTTGACAATATTTGCATTCCATCATTTTTCTTGTGAAATATTCTGAGATTTGGTCTATTTGTATTGATTTATTAATTTTACACTATAATTAGGCGACCCAATAAAGAGTTGGTACCAACGTATTATATCAGAGAATAAATAAATTGTTGAGATTTAAACTGAAGGGACAAAGGAGAATAAATTAACACCTCAGTTCTTCCTCCAAATTTGCATTATCTTAAAAGTTAAGAAGATCTGCAAATTTCCAGGAAAAATGTTTGATAAAAAATGCAGGAATAAAAAGCCTGGGGAAATAAAAAGTTCTTTTCTTTGCCCAGCAGATTTAAACAAATATGATTCTCTATTGGTGACATTCCACACCTGGAGATTAACCTAAAGAGAAGAAAAAAAATCTTTGTTGGTCATCTTATTGTGACATCACTTGCAAAAGAGCTTCTAAAAAGTCATAGTCTCTGTAGGGATACAGAATAAGCATTGAGGCATTGAGAATATAGAGATTGGTAAATATGTGGTTGATTTTTCAATGCAAGTTAATTCAACTTTATTGCAAGCTAGTAATTGTTTTATATTTTAGTTGAAAAGTTTGAAGCTATAAAGCTTTTAATATGCATTTTCCCTAATAGGAGGTCATCGTAATATAAATTACTAAAGGGTCATTTGTCTAAATATTTAATACAAAATTATCTTGCTTTCTATATCATCAACTCTTTAAATATAAATTTTACATAATTTAAAGTAAAAATCTAATTTTCTTGGGGTACAGTTTTGAGTAATACATTTTTAACATGGGAAGAGAATGCTTTGTATTTTGCTTAAGTCTTGATGAGAGAAAAATGCATGAAGTAGACATACTTTTATGCTAATTTTCATTTCATTTGTTTTTATTTATTATTTATATCTCACCTTTATTATTTTTATAAATAACTCAAGCTGGCAAACATACCTATTACACCTTCCTATTATTTTCCCCAGAACAATAATCCTGTGAGGTGGGTTGGTTTGTGAGAAGGTCACCCAGCTGGCTTTTGTGTCTAAGGCAGTGGTTCTCAACCTGTGGGTCGGGACCCCATTTGGGGTCGAATGACCATTTCACGGGGGTCGCCAAACAACGCAGTCCGCCATTTTTTCCCCCCTTTTCCTTAGCTGTGCTACTCCCTTTTATTCTATTGGCTTTTGAAAGCCAATAGAATAGACTCTCTTGAATAGAGTCTAATTCTATTGGCTTTCAAAATCCAATAGGAATTGTCCAGGCTGTCTCTGCCCTGCTGAGCCCACCAAAAGTCCTATTCTGCAAACGGTGCTGCACCAGTTGAGTAGTCCTCGACTTACAACCGGTTGAGTAGTCCTCGACTTACGACCGGTTGGGGTTCGCGGCATTAAAAAGGTTGAGAACCACTGGTCTAAGGCAAGACAAGAACTCACAGTCTCCTGGTTTGTAGCCTGGGGACTTAACCACTGAAATGTCTACATTTCACTCCTATAGAAACTTCATCTTTTTTTTCCTCCTCACATTGCTACTGATTACATTCACCTAAACCCTTAACTAGTTTCAATTAAAAGGTGAGTTAAAACTTCTGCAGATATTTTTATGCAATAGCAGTGCACCTATTGAAACCACCATACCATATAGCCTGTGTGCATCTATTATACAATATATTTTCATATTCACTAATCTAAATGTCTTTTTCTCGTTAATAGAGCCCAGTCCAGTATATGATATCAAAGCTGAAAAGATCACTAATACATCCCTGGATTTAACATGGAACAATAATGATACAAATTCATCAAATTACACTTACCGGATATATATTGATGGACCTGGTGGTTTTAATAAAACTTCTAATACTACCCATGTATCAATTTCTGACTTGGAACCTGGAACGTCATACAAATTTGAAATATATGCACAGGTTGATGGCAATCAAACTGAGGGGGATCCAAATGAAATAAATGTTTATACAAGTAAGTGTGTTAAATTAAGACATGTGATGTATATTTCATTATTACATAAAATATTTATATAAAATATGCAATGAGGTATGATTTCATCTGTCTGCATGTGCACTACATCGGTAAAAATTATACATTTCTGATAAAGAGTTAAACAAAAAAGGATACCATATATAGTATGCTGGAAAACTGGAAAACTCTTTCCAGCATACTATACATAGAAAAGTGTAAGTACAGCTATTCCTCGATTTACAACTGTTCATTTAGTGATGATTCAGAATTACAGTGGCACTGAAAAAAGCGATTTGTGATGTTTTTCACACTTCCTGCCATTGTAGCATCCCCATGGTCACATGATCAACATTCAGACACTGGGCAAGTGGTTTATATTTATGACGGTTGCAGTGTCCCAGAGTCACGTGATCAGTTTTTGCAACTTTCTGAACTAGGAGATCTAATGTATATTATTTTTTATGTATTTTATTTTATTGAGAAAATTTATATGTCTGCACAACTCACAGTGACTCTTGGCAGCTTACAGAAATAAACCCTCCCTTCCCCTGACAACAATCAAGCTCCATATCCCCAAGTCCTCTGGCAAAACTATGTGCCTTTTGAATGAGTGTCAAGCTGGAGGCCAATCTTATTTCCACAAGCATGATTTTTCCACATGGAAAGAGAAGGCCGTTCTTGGTCGCACTATATGGACTTCCTTAAGAGAGCAGGTCCGTAACATAGTCTGCCTCCCCACTCTGGTGGATCGGGTAGATGTAATGGGAAAAAATACTCCTTCAAATAACCTGGTATGTAGGCCTTTAAAGCACCTTGAATTAAAACCAGAAGCAAATTGGAAAGCAATGCAGTTCTCAGAAGAGGTGTCCTATGTGCAAATTTAGATGTGCACAAAACCATGTGGGTCACTCTGTTTTGAACCAATTTAAGCTGCTGGATATTTCTCAAAAGGCATTAGCCACATGTAAATAGCACTGTAATAGTCAAGATAGAAGGTAACTAGGGCATGAGTGAGTATGAGCTGGGCTTGTTGATCCAGGAAAGGGATAATTGACACTGGACCAACAGTTGCATGAAGGCCTTTGCACCATGACACTTCCATCTGACCTGCGAGCAGGAGTTGCAAGTCCAGAAGAATTCTCAGATTACTCACTGGGTCCATCTGGGGCAGTGAGCAATTATATAATTATATAATAATTGCAATTATTAGCAATTATATAATAATAATAAAGTTGGAAGGGATCTTCTAGCCCAACCCCTTGCTCAGGCAGGAAACCCTATATCATTTCAGACAAATGGCTGTCCAGTTTCTTCTTAAAAACTTCCAGTGTTGGAGCATTCACCACTTCTGGAGGCAGGTTGTTCCACTGGTTAATTGTTCTAACTGTCAGGAAGTTTCTCCTTAGTTCTAGGTTGTTTCTCTCCTTGATTAGTTTCCATCCATTGCTTCTTATCCTGTCTTCAGGTGCTTTGGAGAATAGCTTGACTCCCTTTTTTTTGTGGCAGCCCCTGAGATGATATTATGATGTTGCAGGAAACCAGGTCATGTGGCTGCCATTTGCAATCCCCTCTGCCGGCGTCCCGCAAGGGAGGTCAATGGGGAAGCTGGCAGAGAAGGCAGCAAATTTCTCTAGTATATAGTCTTTCACTCGCGTGTGGCCTGCATTGGGCTTCCAGGCCTTCCCCTGTTTTCCCCAACTTGCATTTAGCCTGTGCCAGACCTCCCAGCCTCCCCCAACTTGTGCAATTAGGTCTGAACACATCTAGTTGCATGTGTGCTGCTTTGGGGTAAACTTTGCTCCATCTAAGTCAGGGGTAGGCAACCTTGGCTCTTTTATGACGCGTGGACTTCAACTCCCAGAATTCCTGAGCCAGCATGGCTGGCTCAGGAATTCTGGGAGTTGAAGTCCACGCGTCATAAAAGAGCCAAGGTTGCCTACCCCTGATCTAAGTGATATAATTTGCATGTTACAATAATGGAGAAAATAGCAACTTGACATTATTTGCATTCTACCCTTTTTCTTGGGAAACGTTCTCAGATTTGATTTGTTTGTATTGACTGATGAATTTTACACCATAATTAAGCTACCTGCTAAAAAGATTTTAAGGACTAATTATGAAGGAGAATGGGTGTTGCGATGTCTCCATTCATAGTGCTGGAAATTTAATGTACTGCAATTCAGTGGCCAGCCTGCTGCTTTGCTGTTGTGAGTTTTGTAAAATGAGGATTGTATGGACTGGAAGTGACTTGTATTGCGAAGTTTTGAATGTTTTCTGATTTTTATGCAGGGTTTCCCTGAAACTTGAATGTTGCTCCAGAGTAAAATAATCAAGAAAGGCTGTAAGCTAAAAATGTAATTTCCTCTGTTTGCAACTTTCTTTTTTTAAGATATAAAAAGAAAGTGGTTTGCATTTTGCTGAAGACAATGCATGATAATGGATTTATTTTGAGGTTAATATTCATACTGCTGAGAAAGCTGGATGAAAATAGAATGTCCACATTTACTCTATACAAGCTTCATCTTTTCCCCCTCACATCCCTACCAGGCACTGGTTAAGTTCACCCAAACCCTTAACTAGTTTAAATTAAAATTCCTGCAGATATTTATTCAACTTCTATGCATCTATTGAAACCATTAAGAATATCATTCAACCCATGTCTGTCTAGTATGCTTTATACTGAATAATAAAAAGGCCTTTTGTCTCTTAAACAGGACCCAGTCCAGTGTATGATATTGAATTTGAAAATGTCACCACCACAACTCTGGATATAAAGTGGAAAAATAATGATACAAAAGCATCTAATTATACTTATCAAATTTATATCAATGGAACTGACAGTACAACTTCTAATATTCCGTATGTGAAAATTGTTGGCTTGGAACCAGGAATATTATACAAGTTTAAAATATATGCAGAAATTGGTGGTAATAAAGGAGAGCCAACAGATTCAAGTGTTTATACAAGTAAGTGCATTTAAATGATGTGATGGTACAGGTGAATCTCGACTTCTGATTGGTCCTAGAATAATGTATAAACTTGATTTGTAATTTATTCGAAATTAAAGTGGCAAATTCTGCCATTATAGAGCCTAGTGCAAGAGAACATTAGTGGACTAATGCACGGTTTCACTGGTATCCTCAGTTTTTAAAGCTGTACAAAACAATGTGTATCACATTGTCGCATTATGTTTCTAAATCTATTGAACTTGGAAAAAGGTGGCCCTCCATATTGGAATTAAAGAAGCACAAATGCCCAAACAGATAAATGAATAAGAGATAATGCATCTAAAATAGAGCATTTATTTGGAAAACTGTACAAATGTGACTATTTGTATTTTTCAAAAACACTACTACAAATAGTCCTCAACGTATGACCACAACGGAGCCCAAAATTTTTGTTAAGCAAGATATTTTTAAAGTGAGTTTTGTCCCATTTTACAACCTTTCTTGCTACAGTTGTTAAGTGAATCAGTGCAGTTGATAATAACCCAGTTGTTAAGTGAATCTGGCTTCCCCATTGATTGTACTTCTCAGAAGGTCACTAAAGGGGATCACATGACCTTAGGACACAGCCACAGTCATAAATATGAACCAGCTGCCAAGCATTTGAATTTTGATCACATGATCATGGGGATGCTGCAAAGGTCGTAACTGAAAAATGGTCATGTCAGTTTTTTCAGTGCTGTTGTAACTTTGGTCACTAAATGAACTGTTGTAAGTCGAGGACTTGTATTTGTTTTATACATGTATTTTCCAGATATATGCTCTATTTAGAGAAATTAATTATGTTTGGTAAGAATTTTTCTGCTACAATCACTTTCTCTCCCTCATTTCTAGGGCTTATGGCTGTTTCGAATTCTTCTGCGCTGTATCTAACTAGGGCCTTAATTTTAGGCTCTATTCAAATAGCAACATTTTGCCCACAAAACCTTATTTGACCCATTTCTGTAATGTATTTGTAGAAAAACAAAACACCCAAACACATGCAAACATACATTTTACTACATACAGTATATCCTGAAATTTTATTTAAGACAGCCAACAGAAAGTACTAATACTAAAAGCTTAGCAATTTCACGTGTTTTAAATCTTCACATTAGGAATATATTGAAACAATTTTTTTTTCATTTATATGTGTTTTTTTTTCTATTAACAGATTCAACTATGACTGAGAATCTTAGTTTCATTACTGTTTTCACAAGTGATTCTCCTTGTTCACACACACAGATATATATACTTCATATATTATTTGTCTTCGAATATAAGGGAAAAATATTCTGATAGCCCCAAAGAAATGTCCTTTTTGATCTTTTTGTTCATTGCAAATAAATTAAGGCATAATTGGCTGGGATAACAGAGTATTGTGCATAAAATTCCATGCCTCTTTTTCCTGTATATTTATTTTTCTCCTGTGTATTCCTATATATGTTGTTTGAAAACCCAAATAGTTATAGCTATACCTATGTCAGTACTATTTGAGTAGCTGCATTCATCGTCCATTATAATACCAAAATCTTTATTCACTTTAATATCTAAGATAATGCCTTTTTCTCTTAAACAGAGCCCAGTCCAGTTTATGATATTAAAGCTGAAAATATCAATACTACATCCCTGGATTTAAGTTGGAAAACTAATGATACAAATGCATCAAATTACATTTACCTAATACATATTGATGGACATTCTTTTAGCATCTTTTCTAATACTACACATGTGTCAATTACTGACTTGGAACCTGGAAGTTTTTACAAGTTTGTAATATCTGCACAAATCAATGGCAGTAAAACTGAAGGAGACCCAAATGAAAAAAATGTTTATACAAGTAAGTATATTAAATTGTGATTTTTTTTCTGTTTATTTTATAAATGCACAGTATGAGTTAAATAAAGTCTAATGTGATGAAAGTCTAATATTTTACATATGATTAACAATGCTACTTGACATGTTATAACAATTTGGGATTGGAAATTATTTTCTTTTTCTCTCATATGTATCGTCATGTGTAATGTATTTTTATGTAATGAAAGTACAAATCTACCCATTACTCAATCTCTCAGAAAACAGTTTATATCATATAAGTAAATAAAATAATTAAATTAAGTGATATAAGTGTGTTAATATAACGCCCAAAGAGTATTCTTTACATTCCCATTATGTGTTCAAGGACAAGATTTAATGTGATTGACTTTGATATTTGTAGAAAAATTTCAACAGCTAAAGCCTAAAAAATATTTTTTGCTCTACAGTTGAAATCTATTTTTCATTTGTGCTTTCCTGATGAAACCAATCATATTTCTGACTTCCTTTTTCCAGCACAAAAATTAGCTTAGTTTGATGGCGATAATACTTCCCCACAAAGTATTCTACTTATTAAAAAAAACATTTAAACAAAAAACAAATGTTTGTATCAGTCAGGCACAAATAACCCGGAACAGGATTTTAGTTCAAAGTACCTCAAGTTTATTCCATAGCAATAGCACTCAGACTTATATACCACTTCATAGTGCTTTACAACTCTCTCTTAAGTGATTTACAGAGTCTTCATATTTCCCCTAACAACAGAAAAACTGAGTCTCAGCCATCCTTTCTAAGATAAATCTTGTGCATGATTAGTGGCAGTTGTCTCTCCCTCCCCCCCCCCCAAGAAAAGCTGGGGATACAGCTATTCCTAATAAAGAGTTATTTCCAGGGCATTTGGGAAGGAAGTTATCTTAGTTTTTGTTTTCATTCTGTAATATAATATAGAGCAGTGGTTCTCAACCTTTTTAATGCCGTGAACCCCAACCGGTCGTAAGTTGAGGACTACTCAACCAGTCGTAAGTCGAGGACTACTCAACTGGTGCAGCACCGTTTGCAGAATGGGACTTTTGGCGGGCTCAGCAGGGCAGAGACAGTCTGGACAATTCCTATTGGCTTTTGAAAGCCAATAGAATTAGACTCTATTCAAGAGAGTCTATTCTATTGGCTTTCAAAAGCCAATAGAATAAAATGGAGTAGCACAGCTAAGAAAAAGGGGAAAAAATGGCGGACTGAGTTGTTTGGCGACCCCCATGAAATGGTAGTTCAACCCCAAATGGGGTCCTGACCCACAGGTTGAGAACCACTGATATAGAGGTTTTTCGGGTTTCATCACATAATGAATGACTTGAATCCCTACTCCCATCTTGTCACCTCTTGTGGTTTTTCAGTAACTTTCCCTCCAGAATACCAAAATCTCATAATTTTTCTTCAGGCATTATTTTCAGTGTGATTACATGAGATATTATGTGAGAATTCTGACATTTTGAAAGAATCTTGATCTACATTTTAAATTACTTTTAATCAGAGTGGGTCTGATTACCATCTCTGGGGGGTAAGTTAGGCACCTTGTGTTCTAGACCAGTAATGGCGAACCTTTTAGAGACTGAGTGCCCAAACTGCAACCAAAAACCCACTTATACATCGTCAAGTGCCGGATGGGCATGGCAAATTGGGTGGGCGTGGCTGCAGTGGTAACAGCAGACTGGATGGGACTAAAAAAGTTCAATCAATCAATTCCAACTTTGCAAGATCTTATTTTTTTCCCACGAGAAGTTGAAATTGACTGATTGAATCTTTTTTTTGTACACAGCGGCAGAGGCCTAAAGCGAAAAGGTTTTATAAAACCCAGCTGAATGCCTAGGACTGGGGCAACGGTGCGCATGCCCACAGAGAGGGCTTTGAGTGCCGCCTCTGGCACCCGTGCCATGGTTCGCCACCACTGTTCTAGACCATGGGTCCCCAACCTGTGGGCTGCAGCCCATTACTGGTCTATGGCCTATCCACATGAGTCCGCATAAGTAGCTGGCTGACACAGCCCCACTCATGCAAGCGTTGCAGGCATTTGGGGCCCCATTCTCATGAGCGATCAGTACCTCATTTGCATAAGCACTCGTCACCTCATTCGTGTGAGCGCTTAGCACATTACTTGCATGAGTATCACAAGTGCTCTCAGTTTTCATTTGTGCGAGCAATGGGTGCTTGTGCATTCATGCATCTGTCCCTCCCACAAAACCATCCCCTCTTTCCCCCCTCCCCCTGGACTGCCAACATGGAAAGATTGGGGAACTCTGTTCTAGACTACTACTTTAATAATCCATTCCTTTTACCTGCAGATGAAGTGGACTTGCTATAAGTACAGAATGAAAATTTGAATTGGTTATGATTAAGGTATATGGTTTAATGAATAATAAATGAGATGATGATATTGACAACAATGACATCACTGTCCTAGGTGCATTTGTATGTATGTGTGTATTCAAATACTTTTTTTCCTTTACAGAACCTAGTTCAGTCTACGACATCAGAATTGAAGATGTCAGTACAACTGTGGTCAACGTATCATGGAAAAGTCCTGATGCAGCTGCTTCTACATACTCTTATAGGGTACTCATCGATAGAAAATCTGATCAAATATCCCCAACTACTAGCACTGAAATTTCAGAGCTAAATCCTGGTACTGGGTATCAATTCAGCATATATTCCATAGCAGCAGATAACAAGACTGAAGGAATACCCGAGAGCAGAAATCATTGTACAAGTAAGTCTCTAGAGATGTACATGCTAAAGATGTGCAAATTGCTCTTAGCACAGAATAAACATTTTCATATGATTTGTACATGGAGGGAAATCTTTGTGCTGGATACATCTGAAAATTGGTTTGAAGGTTTTATTTGTTTTATTCAGTGTAACAAAAGCCACTCTAGATGGGGAAGAGTTTTAAGAATTTTGGCACAGTAATAAAAAATAGCAATACACCACAAAGTGTAAAAAAAGATGGCAACAGGCATAATAATAACCTATAGTCTCACCTAACCACCCAATCCCTTTTGAAAGACCAACAGGGGGAATAGTATTCTGAGGGCAGGCACAGTAGATGAAAAGAATGGTTTAGTGGAGTGAACAAAAATAGTATTCAGATATGCTGTTATCTTTCAATTAGATGTTACTTTATATCTAGCAATAATTAAGCCCTATTATTTCTTTATTTCCCCATCTGGATTAGTACAGCAACTAAATATTAAGATAGATAATTTTAAGAAATATTGGTGGGTACCACCAAGTCCTACGATTCCTGTTAAATAATTCCTTGGTTACTAAAAAAAGATTTACTCTAAAGATGCACTTTTGTTAGATGTTCCCTTTGCAGAATAGCTTTTCCTGGGGGTTGCATACAAAAGTAGACATTATATTCTATCTATCTTGTACCATTAGGAGTCGCTGTCATTTCCATTATATATGGAGGGGCCCTTATTAGCTCCAATTACTGGCTGGCTAATACATTAAAGTAGCATATTTATACAACAAGCAAAATTGTTACCAAATCATTTTATTTTTCTGGGATGATATCTATAGCAGGGCTTTTCAACCAGTGGTACGGGTACCACCTGTGGTACATTGGCACCTGGCAGGTGGTACGCGACCATCCTACAAAAGTAGTGGGCGAGGGGAATGAGCTGAAGCGGTGGCAGCACCGCACAAGCCTGGGCGAGAGATAGCTGGAGCTGCAGGGCTGTCAGGGCTCAGCAGAAGTGCTAGGATCAGTGCCAGGCTCCAGCTGGAAAGCAGCACTGATCCTAGCACTTCTGCTGAGCCCAGAAGAAGCACTGATCAGCTGGAATGCTGCAGCATCTCCAGGGTCTTGTGATTTACATTCAGATGCTTGGCAACTGATTCATATTTATGATGGTCCCAGGGTCATGTGAAGTGACCAAAACCTGCTGCAACCACCCAGCAAACGGGGGGAATAAAAACCAAACACCCCCCACCCCATCCCTGCTGCCAATCCTCAACACAACAATGAAAACCTTGGACAGGAGGAAGAGCGCAGCTGGGTGGGCAGGCAGGTGTCTTACTCGGCTGTGGCTTGGGGGGCATTTTTTTCAGTACCACTGTAACTTCGAACAGTCACTAAGCGAATTGTTGTAAGTCAAGGACTACCTATACTTTATCCCTTTTTTCTTTCTTTCTTTCTTTTTTTTTTTGGTCATCAAGTTTTTGACACCTTGCTAGTAGACTGGTGGTATTCAGATGTTGCCATATCCTAAAAGTGGTACAATGGGTGAAAAGGTTGAAAAGCCCTGATCTATAGTATATCTCAAAAAATGGTCTGTTGTCCTATACCAGGGGTAGGCAACCTTGGCTCTTTTATGACTCGTGGACTTCAACTCCCAGAATTCCTGGCTGGCTCAGGAATTCTGGGAGTTGAAGTCCACAAGTCATAAAAGAGCCAAGGTCTCCTACCCCCTGTCCTATACCATGCTAAACTCCCAAAAAAAAAAAAATCTAAACAATGATAAAACTAACTGACTATAATTTCATTAAATGTGTTGAGTGAAACCAGCCAATATCTACCCAAGATTGTCTTGAAATCAAAAAACTCAGGACAAATAGAAATCTAAAGATGATGAGATGATAGTAGAAGATTAAAAAACAGATTATAGCAAAAAGGAGCTTGTTTTTTTTTTCAATGAGTCAATCCTTATACTGCATAAATGTAATTCTGAATTTTTTCAAAGTCATAGGGAATGTTTCCTCGAATGTTTTTAAATTTGCGACAATGAGGATGTTGCTAATAATGGAAATCCGTTCAGGTCTCCTCAGAAATAAATGCAGGGGAATCCAAGAGAGCTTACTCCACAGAAATTGTTAAAGAATAGCCTAAATTCATTCACTGAGTACATGAAATGTATTTACTTCAGTATTTTTCTCCTTGTACGATAATAACTCCTGTTTATGTTGATATGGTTTTTCTCTTAATACCCCGTTTGCATTCCTAGGATGAAAACTCTTTAAAAAATAGATAACTAAGGAAGACATTGTGTTTTTCTCTGCTCCATCCTACTGCACTTTTTATTCAGATTTGTCTACTTATTAAATAGTAAATGTAACAACCATAGACGTTCTGTTTTATTGTAGATCCAGCATCAGTGGATAGATTGGACTGCAATCCGGTAGAAAAAAAGGCAGAATTAAGTCTAAACTGGACTACTCCAAAAGGAGATTATAAAGGCTTCAGAATTAAGGTTCTAAACAATAGTTGGAACAAGACTTTGGAGGAACAAAAAAACCAAACCATTGTGAAAAACCTGACTTACTTTACCAGTTATACCATTAAAATTGTCACCCTTTCATGTGAGAAAATGAGTGTTCCTCAGGAAAAAATATGCCGCACAGGTATCACTGGTAAGCATATAACTAAAGCTTGTAGGTACTTGTTGTATGAATAAAGATGATACAGCTATTGGATGTGTGTGTATTTTTACATGAGAAACATACTTACATGAAAACCTCTGTGGTTAGTTGTTTCCATTTTCTTTCTGTCACCCCTCAAATTCTTTATAAATTTCTTAATAAATTACTATAACAGATCTGTCTGAAGATAAATGGTACCTCCATTTCTTTTCATATATTGTATATACAGTTTTTTCCAATATACAGAGGGGGACATTTTCTTATTAATAAGTGATATGTATGTGGCCATCAAGTGTTGACACATAATTAGACAATATGAAATGAGCACCCATCCTTGCCGACGTCTGCCCACCTAGCGGTTTGACAGCATGCAAATACAAGTAGATAAATAGGTACCATTTTGGTGGGAAAGTAACAGGGACATGAAAGGAGCCCCCTTGGGCATCCCCTTGGCAACGGTGATGTCACCAGCTAATCCTTTCAACCTGGAAGCGCCTTGATAGGTTCTTCGAACACAAATGTAATAGTACTTGGAACATGGGGTCATAAAATTTACATGATGTGCTGAGGGCTGCTGCTTTGTGAATGACTCTCTGGGCAGTGGTAGTTTGGCACAGTGGGGTTTTTTTTCTTATTCCTTCCATGTCCTGATAAATTCATAGTTTCTTTCTCTTTTACAGATCCCCCACCTTTGACCAAGTCCCCTACTGTCAAGGCAACCAGCCACAACTCTTTAAATGTTCAGTTCAACAGTTTCAGTTCAAGTCATGGACCTATAACAGCATATGCAGTAATTATTACCACATCAGAAGGTAAAACACGACATCCCTAGGACAACTATTTTTCCCATTGATCTAAACATACTTTGTCTTTACGTCATGAAGATTTACTGTATATACTGTGTGAGGGCTCTTTTATTAAAAAGAAAGAAAACAAAGCAAAGCAAAAGTATGTCAAAGCTAAATTCTAAACCAGCACATAGATCCAGTATGTGCCCCGCTTGTTCTTAAAAACTGTTACGAGAATAGCAGTCACATTGCTTATTGCATGCCTGCAAATTATATTTAGATGTTCTTGGCTGATTTGAAAAGCCAATCAGGTTGGACTTTATTTGATGGAAGACTAGGAATTATCATAGTTGTGAGTTAAACTGGGAAATCAGAAAAGTATGGCAAAAGAAAAAAGGAACAACTTCTATATAATTGCTGAGAGCCGTTAATGTTGGTATAATGGTATAATGGTTCAGGGGCTAGCACAGAAACCAGGAGACTTGGTTGTAGGCCTTCTATAGATATGAAAGCCAGCTGGGTGACTATGGACCTGTCAGTCCCCAGAGTATTGTATCTGTATTTTGGTAGAATAAATGCACTCTAATGCAGTGCGATACATTGTATTAATTCTAGGTGATTATTGTCAAAACAGTACTTTTGTGGGGACTGTTTCACAATAATGTTCCACCTATCATTCATATTAGGGGACAGAAATTTATTTATGTATATATACATAACATGCAGTTTTGTATGGCCATCCATCTCAAACCAGTAACTCTGCTGTGAGTGTTGTAAATACAGCCCTGTATACCATTAATTCTTAATTTAGTGAACGTGAGTATTTAATGTGAGGAAATGCCTTTAATTTCAAGAGGGTTGGCAGTAGTTTGCTATGAAACTAGTTCCCAGTATTTTGTCTCCTTTCCTATAAAATCTCCAGAACAATTCCATTTATTCAATTACAGTAGTTACAGAGTTAAATGTTTCTTCATTTTGGTTTGTAAAGCACTCAACACATGAGTTTGCATTTGTGTGTTGTGCAGAGCTTTGTTTTGAACAAGATATGCATAAAATAAACCTATGCTAAAGTAGTTTTCTAAGTCATGTTGGAATTATATAATTTCTATAAATTGCAGAACATTTTGAAGGCAGAGAGGAGACCAGCCATGTACTTAAACAATTGCTCAGCATATAATTAAGGAGCTACAAAACAATAAGCAGAAACTATTAGAAATGTCCTCCCTTGCAAAATTTGTAGTATTGTCCTCACCAGCGTATCCAAATTGGTTAAGGAGTATGAGTATAGAACATTCCTTTTTTAAAAAAAATAAAGCAAAAGACGAAGTAAGAAGGCTACATCTGTTCCAGTGGTAACTTGGAAAATTAAAAGGCAATATAATCTACTTCAGAAACATTTAATTAATTTTTCCCCTTTTTTTCCAATAAATTCTAGAAACCAAATTAACAAAACACCATTTTATTAATGTACTCTTAAAACTATATATAAACTATTTCCAAAAGTGAATTAAGTTAACAGTTTTTAGAAATTTGCACTGTAACTTTTGTTCAGGAATACAAAATCTTGCATATATAGAAGTGAGATAAATACTGATTACCAGCAGTTAAAATATTAAAAATTCATCTCACTGATTTTTTTTTCCATTTTTAAAAAAGTTATAATAGTATTCTGCTGAAATGCTGGTTATCATTTAACCTTACCTTGCAATGTGTTATTTTTCTAATTAGGTAATGTCTCAAATGAGGCTTTAAAGTACACATATAATGATTTCAGGAATAAAGAAACAAATAGTTACGTTGCATATATCAAAACTGAAGAAAAGCGTTCATTTTCTACCAAAAATCAGGATTATGATGTTGAAATAGGAAGTGAATCTACAACATATGGTTATTTTAATGGAAAATTAGATCCTCTAAATTCATACAGGTAATTTTTTTCATGTTTCATAATGTATCTTTATAATGCATATAAACAAAACATGGTGAATGAGTAATCTACATAACTGAAAACCCTTGACTGTATTTCAGCCTAATAACTATTTTCTTTCTTCCTTACCCTTGATTAGGGCATGTGTTGCTGCTTTCACTAGAATTGCGTTTTTGAATGAGACCTTTGTCAACACAGAGAAGAGTTATGTTTCATTTTCACCTCTTTCACCATTTGTTATCTTACCTCAGAATCCAGGTATTGATCAAATTCTTGTTGCAAAACCAGCTCTACTCTGACCCAACTCTTTGAATCTTCTGATTAAAATCCTTAATTAAAGTTGAAGAAGAAATCAAAATTGTATGTTCATAAATAGGCAATAGCATAAAAGTAGTGTACATAAAAGTAAGCATAACAGGTTAGAAAAATATAAAGTCTTAGGGTGAGCATCATGTAGGCCAGCAGCCCAACCTTTTGGGCACCAGGAACTGATTCCGTGGAGAGAAGTTTTTCCGTGGAGAGGAGGGGGCGTGGTTTCATTCCCTGCCTGCATCCCATGTGTGCGTGGATATGTCTTTGCCCATTTGTGTGACCCACTTTCTGGCGCACTGTGAACCAGTGCTGGTCCATGGCCCGGAGGTTGGGGACCCCTGATGTAGGCCATCCTGGGAATAGCAATACACCCTTGGCGTAGCCATCTCTGAAAAACCATCCATTGTATTTCAGATATCAAGTACATCCAGGGAAAGATTTTTGTTGAAGATTTCAATGTACAAGCAAACCTTTGTAGAAAGAAGCATTTATTTAAAGCCTGGCCCTAATCCTTAGAAGGCCATATTGTAGCCACTGCTTAGTTCAAACCTAACAATAAAGGAAGACATCCTGCAATATAATAATATAATTTTAATGGTCAAACAAATAAACACTCTTATCCTTATATTTGGAACTGTTTTATAAGATGGGTCCCCAATCCCAAGGCCACAGGCCACTAGTGGGCTGCAGCCTGTTCGGAACCAGGCTGTGCAAGTGATGAGCACATATGCACAGCTCCACTTGCGCGAGCAGCAGGCATTCATACATACTCACAGCTCCACTTGCAGGGCATAAATGCACACACCTACCTCTTATATAGAACCATCCTCTCCCCCCCCCATCAGGCCACCAAGCTGGAAAGATTGGGGGCCACTGTTCTAAGACATGCCCATGCAGATGAAGCTGCAGTAGCCTAATTTGAATCTATCTTATCAGTGAATTACTGAAGCCAAGCTTTCTCCATCCAGATAGTTTAACTTGGTGCGTTCTCCCTATTAAAGGAATCTGCATATTTACAGGGGACTTCTTCTATGCTAATGAAGTCTTACATGTACTAGCACAGGGCTTTTCAACCAGTGGTACGGGTACCACCTGTGGTACATTGGCACCTGGCAGGTGGTACACAACCATCCTAGAAAAGTGGTAGTGGGGGAGGGGAATGAGCTGAACCAGTGGCAGCACCGCACAAGCCTGAGCGAGAGATGACTGAAGCTGCAGGGCTGTCAGAGCTCAGCGGAAGCACCAGGATCAGCGCTTCTTTGGGGCTGTCAGGGCTCAGTGGAAGCGCCAGAATCAGCGCCAGGCTCCAGCTGGAGCTCGGCGCTAATCCTGGCACTTCTGCTGAGCCCAGAAGAAGCATCGATCAGCTGGAATGTCGCAGCATCTCCAGGGTCTTGTGATTTACATTCAGATGCTTGGCAACTGATTCATATTTATGATGGTCACAGTGTCCCAGGGTCATGTGAAGTGACCAAAACCTGCTAAAACCACCCAGCAGATGGGGGGAATAAAAAACAAACACCCCCCACCCCACCCCCACTGCCAATCCTCAACAGAAATGCCTCACAACAATGAAAACCTCGGACAGGAGGAAGAGCACCGCAGGCAGGTGTCTTGCTTGGCTGTGTCTTGGGGAGGCACTTTTTCAGTGCTATTGTAACTTCGAACAGTCACTAAGCGAACTGTTGTAAGTCAAGTAACTGTACTTTTATCACTTTTTTCCTTTTTTTTTTTTTTTTTGGTCATCAAGTTTTTGACACCTTGCTAGAGATGCCCTTTTGTGAGATGTCCCCTTTGTAGAACAGCTTTTCCTGGAGGTTGCATACAAAAGTAGATATTATGTTCTATCAGCTGTTGTACGACTAGGAGTTGATGTCATTTCCATTATACGTGGAAGGGCCCTTATTGGCTCTAGATACTGGCTGGCTAACCCATTAAAGTTGCATATTGATACAACAAACAACATGGTTACCAAATTATTCTATTTTCCTGGGATGGTAATATGTCAACATCTATATTATATCTCACAAAATAGTCTGTTGTGCTATACCAGGGGTTCTCAACCTTGGCAACTTTAAGAGGTGTGGACTTCAACTCCCAGAATTCCTCAGCCAGCTTTGCTGGCTGAGGAATTCTGGGAGTTGAAGTCCACACCTCTTAAAGTTGCCAAGGTTGAGAACCCCTGTCCTATACCATTAATGTTGTGTATTAATGAAGGTTTGAAGTACAGCTGATCCAATTCAGTTGGCTGCCTTTATTAAGGACTAAACCGTGGCAATAAAAGCAGAAAAACGTAGCAAAATCAGACAAGTATAAGCGGGTGGATACAATCATTAAAAAGCATAAATTTATATATATATATATATATATATATATATATATATATATATATATATATATATATAGAGAGAGAGAGAGAGAGAGAGAGAGAGAGAGAGAGAGAGAGAGAGAGAGAGAGAGAGAGAGAGAGAGAATGAAGATCTAAAAAGAATGATAAAGAATTAGAAGATATAAAAGAGAGGGTAAAAAGGGGAGATTAGAAGCATTAGATGGGTGTAAGGGAGCATAAAAGTTCATACTAAGACTATATATCTTTTTTTTCCCCTTTCAAGCTGTCATTACAGGAGGTGTTGTTGGAAGCATTCTGGTTCTGTTAGTTATTGTTGCCGTTGTGGGATTTGTCTTCTGGAAAAAGAAAAGGTATAAAAACAACTTCATAATGCAGCTGAATTTTGAGTTCCATGATAAATCACAGGAATCTCTACTGTAGAGTCCATGAAGAGTCTCTGAATGGATTAAGCCTGGAGTTTCCAGCATTCCCAGCTAGATCATAGTTTGTGTGCTTTCCTCTAGAAATCTTCAGCCAAAAGATCCAGTCAGCATAGCTATTCATGGATTATGGGAGTTGTAATTCAAAACATGGACAGCGTGTTTTTTTATTTGTTCTTGCTTTATATCTGATGCTACACAGATCTTTTTCTTGGTGATAAGCTTGTAGTCTGGAATAATGCAGGATTGCTGGTTACTCAGAACTGTCTTGTCACAGAAAAATGAATATAACATCCTTTACTAATTTCTGAAAACACATTTGTTGCCTACAGAAAGCATAATTTATGGTATAATGTAAGTGCATTAACTAGATGAAAAGCTATGTAACTAGTTTGATGTAAATATTAAAGAATAAAAATCCTAATTAACTTGTTTTCAAATCTCCCCTTTTATAGGAAAGGTAGAAATAACGAAGTGCCATTTGCTCAAATTGAGTAAGTTGAATGGTTTTGTTTTTTTCCCTCTACCTAATATTCAGAAATCTGTTTGAACTTTTTTTCTGATGTTGATTTGAAAATGGGTAGGAGAGGGTGGATTTGGGCAACCGCCAAAACATTTACATACATACATACATACATACATACATACATAAATTCCATAGCATTTCTAAAGCTTTACAAACAATTAAGGTGATTAGAATTTTAGTAAACATTTAATCTTTTAAGGAAACCATTCACATAGTGGCTAATTCTGCAAATGGTATCATGTCTAGTTTCATCCTAATAATAACATTAAAGTTGTTTCAAAGGAAGTAACGTATATAAGAAGCAGGAAAAAAAGGAACAAATAATTGGAAATAGCATTAACATAGCATAAACTTGGATAAGGTAAATTTTTAAAGAAATGCATTGCTCTCAAAATTTAACTAGAACCATTCATACCACAACAGTGATTTATTTTAAGGAATTCATTACAATCTTTGCTGAATCCCAAATACTATAAAAATTGTTTTGCTTAATAAATAAAGAAAATAATTATATTTTCCTTTTCCTTTTTCCTTTCCAGACCTAAAAAGTAAGTAAATATTTCCATCCTGAATAAATAGAATTATTGTTTCTAGCTTTCTACCCAAATACTTATACGTTCTGATTTCTGTTTAATTTCCAACCTATATATATACGATTTTTGAGTGAATTTTTTGTTTTACTTTACATGTTAAACACTTCACTTTTCACGTGTTTCTTTGTTTCACTTTGCTTTTGCTTTTGGGAATTTCTAAATTGCTATTGACTCTCATTTATATCTTGATATGCTTCAGCATTTCTCAATGGACACTTGGCTCTTATGCAGAGACATTTTTTGCATAATTAAGGGTTAATTCCCAAAGTCACTTGGTACTTTTTTGTGGTTTGAACAAAACTGTACACTAAACAGTCACTGCTATTTTTATCTTTTACAGATCAAAGTTACTTAAAGTTGAAAATTACGAATCTTATTTTAAGAAACAGAAAGCTGACTCAAACTGTGGGTTTGCCGAAGAGTATGAGGTATGCTTTTTAACCATTCTTATTCGTACAGGAATATTTTCCATGCGTATATGGTCACTTCCATTAAATGAATTCTTGCAATTTGCAAAAGTTATATATTTGAGTGTATTTCAGTAAAGAGCCAAAACTCAATTGTGAAAACAAACTAACAAGCAGAAATAATAATTACCTTTCCTAAAGTACAGCAATGCTAAATATTTAAAAACTGTTTCTGTGTTTTGAGAAGAAAAGTAATAAATTATATCTTTCTCTGTTGTAGGATCTCAGGCCAGTTGGTGCTAATCAGCCTAAATTTGCTGCTGAATTGTCAGAAAACAAAGGAAAAAATAGATACAACAATGTTTTGCCTTGTAAGTTCCCCATTCTACTTCTTTATTTACTCTTACTATTACTGAAAATATTTTAGCTGTAACTTTATAAAATATGATCAGAACTTCCATTTGGGCCAAAGCAGTTCCTGCTAAGTTTTCTGCTTAGTTGTAATAGAAAATGTGACTTTGAATTTGATTTTAAATTCTCCATATTTTCCTTGGCCCTTGACGTAATATATGATATGGATGGTGGAACTGGACTGTCCTGTTTCATTTAAGAATTATGGAGGGACCAGAATTAACCAATAGGGTTACTCTTTCATGTCATGTTGGGACACCTGGAAGAAGATCTCTAAAGCAAATCCTAAATATAGTACAGGTTGGCATTAGAAGCCTAATTTGTAGAATTTTTTTCAATCCTCTTGATTGCAAAAGGATTTAAGTAACTTTTTTTTCTAAAGTATGCCAAGTTAGTATGCTATGTGTTTAGTCTAATGATGTGCCATTCTGTGTGAAGAGAGGCCATCATAATCTTTTATTTTCCACCTCAATTGTTGCATGGACCGTCATCAAATAGGAGCTAAAAGTAGTAATGAAAAGGAACATTCTCTTATGTAACCAATTCCCATTAAATACTGAAAGTGTCTCAATCATTCAAAAAAAATAAATAAAAATAAAGTAGAAAATAGATGTTTAATGCTCAGAAGCTGTCTCTCAGTAATCATGCTTCTCTACTGAGCTGAATCAAATTCGTATGTGTACCAGATAAAAAGCTATACATTGACCATTGTCTCCTAAAAAAATAATTTGAAAATTGCATTTGAAAGTTTCTTTAGCTTCTTTCTTTAATGAAATTAGTGGGATATGATTGTTTGAAGCATAATTAATTTGTTTGAAGTGCTTATTTATTAGCACTTTATTATTTATTCCCTAAGTTTTAATACTTGGCTTGAATAATTAAATTTTACTGATAATGTTACATAGTTTGGTGATGAAACATCTGCAAGAAAACCACCCAGCTCAGACAGTGCCAAGGATCCTGCATAATTAAACTTACTTGTAGCCCTACTTCCTATATTTTTTTTTACTTTGCATATAACCTTTGACAATAAATGCATTTTATTTATTTAATGAATTTGCCTAAATTACATTTAAAAAGCAAGACCTGACTTTTTTTTTTGTCCTTGCAGATGATATTTCTCGTGTTAAACTTTCAATTCCAAATCATTCAACTGATGATTACATTAATGCAAATTATATGCCAGTAAGTCTTCCTGGTGTGTTTAAAACACATTATTTAGAATGGTGAGTTTGTTGAAAAATGATACTGAGACCATATTTTTTATCACAGGGGTATAACTCCAAGAAAGAGTTTATTGCAGCACAAGGCCCTTTGCCTAACACTGTGCAAGATTTCTGGCGCATGATCTGGGAGAAGAAGATTTACACAGTTGTTATGTTGACTAAATGCATTGAACAAGGCCGGGTAAGTTTTTTTAAACTTCTAGGACCAGTTACACAACATCACAGCCACATTTGTCTATATACCATATACATGAGTGGCATTAGAATTTATTTAAAACTATTATTCCCTGCTCCTTACACAAATCAATATAGCCATTTCTAAATAATTAAAGATGCAAGAGTTACTTTGTAGTAGCTATGCAAGGAAAAGTCAACATACAGAGTCTGTCCACGGTAAAACATTCCAAAATGAGTTTAGAGCACAGGTCCTCAACCTTTTGGGCACCAGGGACTGGTTCCGTGGAGAGGTTTTTCCATGGACCGGAGGGTACAGGTTTTTGTGTGCTGCCTGCATCTCACAGATGCTTGTTTGTGAGGCCCGGTTGCTGGTATGCCGCAGCCCGGTACTGGTCCACACACTGGGGTTGGGAACCCCTGGTTTAGAGGAAAAGTAGAAGAATGAGGTCGTGCTTGACAGGGCAAAAATTAAAAGTCAGTCATTAACAGATACATATTTCCATTTGGATTTAATTTACGTTCTTAGAGGTAATGCTGCTGGTAAGGAGAACTTGATCCTATGGCATGCCATGTAGATATACATAGAGCGACAATAATTAGTGTTCTGTGGGAAGAATGACGAAGTTTCTTGTAACTGTTCCCTAACATGATTGGAATCATATTAGTCTTCAAGGTAGAAGAAAAATGAGAGCCAGTTTGGTGTAGTGGTCAAGGCATCAGTCCTTGGGAAGACTGAATTCTGGTCCCAATTTAGGCACAAAGTCAACTAAGTGTCACTTTCTCTCAGTGGATAGGAAGCAATCAAGGACAAACCACTTGTGAAAAATCTTGCCAAGAAAACTGCAGGGACTTATCCAGGCAGTCTCCAAGAATTGGACATAATTGAACATAAGAAAAAAGAAAATGCAAACCTGATTTTCATAGTTTCTTGTTGGCTAAGAATTCTGTAAGAATTGTAGTTACAGAATGTCTGTCCAGTACAATGTTATGGGAAGCTGATTTATTGTAGTATCTTGCAGTTGTGGTATCTCCAGTCCAAGAAAGGATTTGACAATACAATTATTTTAGAGTATAACATATGGGTTATTTATATTTTTAGACAAAATGTGAAGAGTATTGGCCAAACAAACAGTCTAAGAACTATGGGGATATAATGGTGGCCATGACTTCAGAAATTTTCCTACCTGAGTGGACAATAAGAGATTTCTCCATAAAGCAAGTAAGTTATGATCATATATTACATTATTCTCTCTTGATAGAAGGAAATTATCTGGACTTTTGGCAATCGGGGCTAGGACAGAAACTGCATAGATGACTTGTGGCAAAGCATGGAAAGTGGAAGCACAGCCATTCTTGTCTTACTAGGCAGCTTGGCAGTCTTCAGTATTGTGAAGCACAATATCCTTCCAGGCTTCTTAGAAGAGTTGGGAGTGGGTGGGAGGCATTATTTTGTGGTAATTCCACTTCTTTTTGGGCAGAAGGACTGTGGTTGTGGGGTCCTTGCAGGCATCACAGGAGCACATGGATAGGATGTGACTAGGATAGCCTTTGTCCAGCTTCAGGTGGTACCTCCACTGCAACTTGATGTAGAACAAGATCACTTACACACTTGCCCTTTCCAGCTTGATTGCTGCCTTTTACTGTTCATGGGGTTGCCCTTAAAGGTTACTGAGTAGCCAGGGGTCAGTTGTGTTCAATTGTATGCCCTCAAGGGAAAAATGAAACCTGACCCCATGCTAGTGGTGATCAGCAAGTGGTTTTATGTAGATGCTGAATAGAAGTAGCCCTGTAATTCCCCTCCCCCCTTTATCACTTACAATAGAGTAAATATTGTAAAACTGGTCCCGATAGAAAGATTTTTTTCACAGTTGCACCAAGATTGGAGTTGGGCCATTGTTTTAACAATGTGTAGTTTGTTCCTAGAGCTAAATGTAGTATTTTTCTACTTGCTTACCTATTTACTTATTTTAAGTCAATACTTATTGTGCCTTATCTCTAGGAATTTGGGCAGGAACAAGTTGTTTTAAAGCCCTGAAGTTTGGAGCTAGGAAAAAACTTAACAGTTTTTATTAAGACCACATGTGCCATAATGCAGAGATTACTCTTTCCAGATACAAACAATATAGTACTTCTATATAGGTTTCAAAATGGGGAAAATAAGTTATTCCACACCCCAAATTCAGAAGATAAATCGTTTTCTTAAAGATCATAATAAAGCTACATATAATAATATGTTTGCCTGCACCTGAATTGACCACATTTAATTCCAGTTAACCATCTTTTAGCATTGCCATAAAAAATAAAAAAAATGTTGAATATAAAATTTAGATCACGAAATTTATGTGGTTCTTAAATGTAAGGTGACCAACTTTTTTACAATGAAAAGGAGGACACAAATAAATTAAAGAAAAAAATATCGTAAATAAAAGAAACATTTTATTCATTGCAACAATAATACAGACAACTTGCATGTGCAAAGTTTGCCAACCGGGTGTTTTGGCGCGCTCAGCAGCAATTCCTATTGGCTTTCGAAAGCCAATAGTGGGAGTAGCACAGCTCATGCAAAAGTTGAAAAAAAAACCATCAAAAAAAAGGTGCCGGAATGCCGTTCTGAGTGTTCTATGAGGGAAAAAAAAAGCCCTGCAGATTAGTCTTCAAATATCAAAAAGGAGGACATGTAGGAGGACACTTTTCGAGGGAGGACAGAATTTACAAAAGGAGGACTGTCCTCCCTAAAGGAGGATGGTTGGTCACCTTATTATATGACCTCACAAACACAGGGGGAGGGGGTGTTTTTGTTTGTTTGTTTCCCTGCTGTATTTATCTTTACCAGTTTGTCTCTCCTACTACAGCTACCCTTGGATCTAATTTCATTCCTGCTGTTTTTGTTTCCAGCTATGCCAACTTCTGCCAACCTGGTGCCCCCAATTGTGCAAAACACTATTCCTAGAATTCCCAGTGAGCTTTGTTTTCAGCTGGGGGAGGGCACCAGGTTGAGGAAAAACGTACATTTGCCCAGATAGATTTGATCTGTCTCTCTTTTCTTGTCTCCCAATGTGCATTTCCTGGGTTTGCTATCCCAGGACCCAGAGTAAAAAGTAGTCACAATCAACCCCTTTGATAACACATCTGAACAAAGCTTCTTCTTTTCTTAAAAAAAAAAAAACAAGTTGCCAGGAGGCATCTGCAGCAATAATTTCTTTGTGTGTTCTAACTTCTCTTCTGTATTTTGACAAGAGTGATTCACCGGAAAGTCATCCTGTGCGTCAGTTTCACTTCACTGCCTGGCCTGATCATGGGGTTCCAGAAACCACTGACCTCCTCATCAGCTTCAGGCATTTGGTCCACGAATTCATGAAGCAGAAGCCACCATCTTCTCCAACCTTAGTGCATTGCAGGTGCAAATATAATATCTTTACCAATATTGAAATGTGATTCTGTGTAGTTGTGCTTGTGTACAATGAGAGTGGCTGGCTTGCAAGGGATATTCATGGGAACGGCTGCTTTTAAAATAATAAAAATCAGGCAATGAGCTAGGAAGTGAAGGTGGCATTTGCAGGGTGACAATTTGAATTCAACCCACCCACTGTACACTGTACACAAGGTGCACACAATCTTTTGACTTTTTACCTTCTTAAATTGTCTGAACAAGGGAAGCTGTTTTATATTTGAGTGTTGCCTTCTGCATTTTTCTAAAAGGCGGCATGTATTTACTTTTAAATAATTGGGGTGTGTTAGTCAAATAAGAGCAACCAACTGCAGTTTTTGACTTGATGGCATCTAACTAATTGGTTTAAAACAAAGCAAATTTGAACTATGATCAGTTGGCTGGTAAAGAGTCTTGCTGCCACTGGATGATTCCATGGATAGGGATGGACTGGGATGAGAGCTGTATACATATTTCCAAATATGGTAGCATTTGCATCAAGGCATGTATCAAGAAGAGACAACATGTGTGTTGGGGGGGGGCTGCCCTTAGATAAATTGTACAAACTTTGGGATAAAAGAAACTGTCCCTCTTGGTTTAATTTAATGTGTCTATTATTGTGTCACTGAGACATAGAGTGTTGTTGGTTCCCTCAAGTGGCAGAATGTTTTTCAAGTTCATGGACTCCCAAATAAACCAGATGGAAAGTTAAGGTCAGCCCCCCCGCCCGCAGCTTTAAACTATTTTGTATTAAGTCTGTAGGGAAGGAAAGAATCAGGATTCACATCCCACAGCTTGTGCTGTGGGAGGGTACTTAATTTCCTTTTTCATGCGCTGTCTGCTAACTTGCCCATCCCACGATACATTATCTCAGTGATGGCAAACCTTTTAGAGATCAAGTGCCCAAACCACAACCCAAAACCCACTTATTTATCGCAAAGTGCCAGGGCCACATCAGCATTGTGGTGCCCTCAGGGGGGTGGGATGGCCCACTGGGTGGGCGTGGCTGCGGTGGCCACGGCAGACTGAGTGGGCATGGACAGGGTGGGCGTGGCCACCTTGATGTTGCTCATGGGAACACCTGTGGGGCCTGGGCAGGATTGGGGGAGATCCAGGGGGTCTCTGGTGGGTGGGGCGGTGAGCAGGAGGCTCGTCCTGTGGAATGAGGCAGGGGGTAAGGCGGGGGTGCCATTGTTGTGAGGCAAGGCGAGGCAGGGGCGGCTGCTGCCTGACACCATCAGCCCCCACACACACAGGCCAGCAAGCTCATGGTCTACCACCTCTACTCAAGCTTGCTAGCCTGCTGCTTCACCTCCTTTGTGCTGGGTGGGGCTGCCGCTCCGGGCACCAGCAGTGGCCTAATGGACCTGTGCAAGCTGGCGGCGGCAGCAGCAGGTGTGCCCACAGAGAGGGCTCTGAGTGCCGCCTCTGGCACACGTGCCATAGGTTCGCCATCATTGCATTATCTCATTCTGTAGAGTCGACAGTCAAAATATAAAAGCAAACCCGTCATTCAACCTCTAGCCCAATTTTCAAAAAACAACCCAGTCAAACCTAGGGGCAAGGCAGGGTTTTCTTCTTCATCCATTTTGAAACCCAGAAGGCCCTGGAAACCCTCCCGTGAGCACGAGGTGCTTCGTTTTTAAAAGAAGGAAAGCCACTTTAGGGCTAGCTAAAATGTTATACAGGTAGCCCTCGCCTTACAACCACAACTGAGCCCCCAAATTTCCATTGCTAAGCAAGACAGCTGTTAAGTTAATTCTGTCCCATTTTATGACTTTCCATGCCACAGTTGTTAAGTGAATCACTGCACTTATTAAATTAATAACACAGTTGTTAAGCAAATCTGGCTTCCCTGTTCACTTTGCTTGTCGAAAGTCGCAAAAGGTGAGCACGTGACCACAGGACACTGCAACCGTCATAAATATGAACTAACTGCCAAGCATCCTAGTTTTGATCACGTGACCATGGGGGGGGGATGCTGCAATGGTCGTAAGTGTGAAAAACGGTCATAAGTCACTTTTTTCAGTGACGTTGTAACTTTGAACGATTACTAAACAAATTGTTGCAAGTCAAAGACTCCATGCATGTATATAGTGGCTTGGCTATTGCATTTGGTAAACAGATAAAAAAAGTCTGTTTCAAGTCAATGTCAGTTCCTGATGTCTTCACAGATACAGTCATGAAGTTTTCTTAATGATAATGCAGAAATGATTTACCACTGCCACCTTCTAGTATAAGTTTTTTTCTTCCCAATTTCCCAGTCTACCATGGAGCCATAGGATTCGTAACAATCTCCCATCCATGTAATCCAGAGATTCCCCCCCCCCTTAGTCAAGATGGTGATGGTGATGTTTTTGTTTACATATAGTAGATTATATTTATGTACATTGCCCTCTAGTCCCTGGAAAAAACGGCACATAAACAGGGCGGCTGTACAACTGGGGCATTATTTTCCTTCTTTTTTTCCTTATGTAGAAGAGAGGAAATTAGGTTGTGCTGTTTTTAACTTAGATTGTAAATGTAACGCTTGAGAAAGATAGTAAAAGAATGAGATGAAGGTATTCAGCCCTGTGCGTTTTTTTTAAAAAACAGTGCTGGTGTTGGGAGGACAGGAACTTTCATTGCGATTGACCGTTTGATACAACAAATGGAGATGGAGAACACTGTTGATGTGTACGGCACTGTATATGATCTACGAATGCATCGATCTCTAATGGTACAAACAGAGGTATGAGCAGACTGCTATTCTAAGCATGCAAAACAAGAATTGGATATAGAAAGTCCTCAACTTACCACTGTAACAACAGAATTAGGGTTATAAGACATGATGCTTGTTAAGTGGGTCACCACATGACAGCCCCCAATTTTATGAACTTTTTTGGTCATAAAATGCCAGAAATCATGTAGGACACTGCAGATGGCTGTAAATGCAAGCTGGTGGCAAACACCGAACATGCAATCATGCGACTGGGCGTGTGTGCAGCCAATGGAACTTCAGAACTTAAAAAAAAAGGGGCCTGGGCAGAGGACTACCAGTATGTCATTATTATTAGGTCTGTACGGTGCTTTGGATTCAATCTCCAAAGTGCTTCAGAGTATGTAGCATTTTTTGGAGACTGAGTCCAAGGTGTTAACTCAGCCCCTAGTCATGATGGTGGTTTTCTCTTTAAACTGATGATCCATCATCTAAAACCTTTGGTAAACATTGCATTGTTTTTTCTCCCCCTCTTAGGACCAATATGTTTTCCTAAACCACTGTGTTATGGATATTATTAAATCTAAGAAAGAGAAGAAAGCGGATCTCATCTATCAGAACACAAATGCCATGGCAATCTATGAGAACTTCACACCATCATCACCATATATTGGGAGGGCAAATGGCTACCACGTATAACTAGAAAGGAATGACTTGCTTCCCATTTGGGCCCTTTGCAGAGGAGAGAAAGAATATGCACTGCTTTTGTATGACTTTATATACAAAGACTTCAGCACCTGTTTTGAAGATACACGTGTTAAATTGCCAGTGGAAACTGTGGATTCAATATAGTGTTAAAAGAAAAAAAATCTATACTGTATTTTGCAGAGAATTTTTGCATTGAGGGTTGATAAAGCAAAATATTATTGGTGAAATTAATGTTGGCTGAATAATAAGAATGAAAAACACAGACACTTTTAAATTATTTTTTAAACATGTTCATGTTCAGACTTCATAGGATACTGATTCTATTGTTTGTGTTCCAGAAATATTAATGATGTATATTGGTCATGTTAACATTTAAGTTCCACAGTGACTTCTCAAATTCATTTTATTTAAAATGGGAACACATAAACCTTTTATAAATAGGATATTTTATTATGTAATTGTGCCTTTCTATTTTGCTAAAGACAAAATAATCAGAGATCTATATTTTTGTATTGAAATTCTCAGATGATGTCTAACATTTGAATATGATTATTTTCAATTTTTTATCTGGAATAACTATGCTTATTCCTGCCTTCTGGAAGCTGCAGCCATTCATTTATATGATGCTTTATTCTGCAGAAAGTTTATTGCAGAATTCATTTGCTTGTTCTTGTGAGCACAATAACTATCGTATCATATTTTGGCTTTCTTATAGGGGTAAATTAAAATTTATCCAATGTTATTTTCATGAATTGAAAATATTTCCCACTTTTCTAAAAAAATTCGATGAGAGTTACAGGCGTATTCATAGGCTTTCCCTGGCCTTTGAAGATCTGTTCCTCAACGCCATTTTCTTCTTTGACCTCAAGTCTTATGATGCAGGATCCAATCTGGGTCCAGCATCAGGAACCAGAGTTTTGTCTGCTGAGCTTTTGGACTTGTGCTAGAGCCAATCCTCAGGGAACTTTTCTGGCTAGAAAGCTCGACCAACCCAAATTGGATTTGCAACATTATCCTGGGACACGTATATTGGCCTTCATTCATCAGTTTTATGTGTCCGTATTACCTTTTCATTGGTGTGTGTATTCAAGATTTCATCTATTGTCCTAATTTGGATGCTTAGCAATACTTGTAAATATCTGTTCTTGATCATATTTGACAATAGCACAGACAGTGCAGAAGAATATGGTGTCAAGAAGTAACAGTGGTTTGTGAAACAAAAGGAAGTCAAACTCTTACTTTGTGAAAATATGCTAATTTCTAAACAGATATCAAAATAAGGGATGTCCAAGTAGCCATCGATACTTGTGACCTCAGGTTTAACTATAAGGGGTATGCAACTAATAATGCAAAGATGGGGAGGGTGTGTAAGTGGATTGACTTGATTTGATTTGATTTCCTGTCAAATTTAATGATTTTATCAAGTTTTTTCAATTCATAGTTCTGCAGGCTAAAGTTTTTAAATAATATCTCCAGTGATCACTGCTTTACAGGTTGTTCTCTACTTAATGACCACAACTGAACCAGGACTTCTGTTGCTAAGTGATGCAATATTAAGTGGGATGTGCCCGATTTTGTGAGGCTTTGCCTTAGTTGTTAAATGGATCACCATAGTTGTTAAGCAAATCCAGGTTCTATTGATTTTGCTTGGGAAGTTTGTAAATGACAATCGCATAACCCTGGGATGTTGCAGCCATTGTAAATACATATTAGTTGCCAAGTGCCCAAATTTTAGTCATGACCACAGGGACATTGCAATGGTCATAAGTGCAAGGACAGTCGCTTTTTTCAGTGCTCTCATAATTTTGCACGGTCATTAAACAAATGTAGTCTTCCTTCCCCCACAGCCATTGGGCAAAATAGATTTTCTTAACGATCATGGCATTCACTTAACTGCCACAAAACTGCCATAAAATTAGGTCCGATCAGGTGATGACCTGCTTAATGACTGCAACAACTTAGGACTGTAATTTTCAGCTCAATTATGGTCATAAGTCGAGGGCTACCTGTAGTAGTTTTCCATGCAGAAGCAGGAATATCAAAGGTGGAGTTTATGGGACTTGAGACTATCACAACAATGGCTTCCTGCTTGACCATGATAGTTCAAGTGTCTCAGTCATGGCATCTTAGTCGGATCTTCCAAAAGATTTTTAACAGCATTTTTTTTCCTATTTTAAGAAGTACTTTTTCAATAGGCCTAGCACAAGCCCCCTTTTGCCTACTTGACTTAAGTTTAGGAAGCTTCATTCTTTTATCATGGGGGCATAGTCTACATTCTCTTCACCATTACATCACTTACATTCAGTAACAAAATGGCCAATTTTCAGCCTCACTTGCTGAAAGGAGTGGAAGTATAAGCAGGATGTCTCTGGGAGATGGCCCACTTCCATTTCGCCTCCTGACACTCTTGCAAATGATGAAATTTAACCCTTTTGCCATCAGGTTTCATTGGTATGTTTTAGGGGCATTAGGGGAGAATATGAAAAGTTTTCAATTAGAGGGAAAGTATTGTTCACCCCCTCGGATGCTTCTACGCTTCTCAAGGAGGCCAAATTTGAGTTGCATCCTTCCCTTGCTGCCTCTAAGGCAGGGGTAGGCAACCTCGGCTCTTTTATGACTCATGGACTTCAACTCCCAGAATTCCTGAGTCAGCATAGCATAGCTGACTCAGGAATTCTGGGAGTTGAAGTCCATGAGTCATAAAAGAGCCGAGGTTGCCTACCCCTGCTCTAAGGGGAGAAACTACCATTCTTTCGATTTTCATGAAGTTACTTTAAAAAGGCAAAAGATATAAACAGAATTTGATTTCCAGTTGCGCTCAGTGGAGGCATTGAAATTTGCATAATTTAAGTTTCATATTCAGATCTCAAGTCAAACCAAGGACTGGATTTGCCTTTTTCTGAAGCAAAGCCCAAATTAAATCTAACTAGCTATTTTAAAACTTGTTATTGTGTTGCAAACTGAATACTGTAGTAATAAACCCATTTGTGATTTCCCATTAAGTCCAGCTTTATCACACACACCCTCCATACGTTCTCAGGTTTCCAGATACTTATGGAAGCATAGTAATGATTGGTTCGCCACATGCAAAGTAAAACAACATGGGTCATTTTCATGCCCACTTCAGAGTGAATGGTTTATCTTAAAGTTATAAGATTATCACTTGAAAGCTGTCCCTTCAGTTGATCTTGAGGACTGAACCACAAGTGACATTCTGAGGGGAGGAGAGAAGCTCTGTAGCTTTAACTGTGGTTTGCATATGATTGTTGTAATGGCGTGCGGTATTGGCGGGGTAGGTACCCTGCCTGTCCTAGTTGTATTTTTATGTTCTTTTCTGTGATGAAGATTTATTTAAAAGTGCAATATTTGATTTATTGAATGAATGATTGCCTCTATTTGAATAGAGTTTACTCAGGTTCATTATCATTCCTGTTTGTTCTATAGTTTTATGTTCTTGTGCAAATAGTTTTCAAAAACCTGAAGAACTCCTGTAGTAGAATAATCATATTTGCTCTATTTCTTTTGACTAAAAAAAAAATACAATGTTCTACTGAAACTCTCAGCTGCAGATTTTTTTAATGCAGTGAAATACATACACACTTGTGCATATTATATATATGCTCTGGTTTTGTTTTATTATGCTGCTGTAGTTTGTAATGGATACGATTAATGAAAATGAAGGGTTTTGCATTAAATTACTTTTGTTGGTACACTGATCTTAAAATTATGAAGGCATTCTTAATGAAGGACATGGTTTCTGAAAGGGAAGGGGAATCATATATTTCTTTTAGTCAATGCGCTGGCAGCATTAAAAACTGGTATGATATTTGAGTGTATTATATTGCTTTGTTGTATTTTAGTATTGTAGATTTCACTTAGCTTTCTTCAACAGAACCACCACTGCATTAAGCTTGTGAGCAAAACTGCTCACCTTGTTCAAGTTTAAGATTCAGGAATATTCCAGTGTTAATAAAGTTTGGATATAGACTGCTGTATAGAAATGTTTTTCTAGTCTATTCTGCTTCTATAATACCGAAGTTTGTCTTGAGTGGCTTTTTTTTTACTCTGCTCCTTGCGTAAAATAGCACTGGATTTTGGTGTTTTTGTCCAAATGCATGCTACTTGTCTTTTGTTTAATAATTTTAGTCCTTCCGTCTTTCTCATTGTTACAGATACAGTACAATCATTCACCTGTGTGAGGATGTTGAATAGGAAGCAGTCCACCTCTTAATGTAACTTTTCCTTTGCACGTTGGTGAGAGCCCATACAGATTGATTTATAAAGACAAGATTTCTTTTGGGGGAAACAGATGCATAGGAACACAAAGTTTTGCAGAAAATTTAACAGAGAAAAGAAACTGTTCGAGGATAACAAAATGCCAATCACATAATGGTTAAAGCAGCCTTCATGGGATTTGAGTTAATCGTAGTTACCATTTTTAAAAAAAAAACTTTAAAAGGCTTTAGATATAGGCTGCAAAATCTGGGATGACCATTAGAGGGCAGTGAAAAGATACAGAAAATTGTCTTCAGTGCTATCTAGTAGTTGTCTAGGTATTTGCAACCCAGGTCTAGTAGCCACACATACTTCCTTTATGAACACGCCAAAAAACTGAACTATTACTTATTGCCTTAGAGTGATTACCCAGCCATACATAAATAACTACTGGGTCAGAAAGACAAGAATTTATGCCTCTTTTGTACTAAAACAGTGGTTCTCAACCTTTTTAATGCCGCGACCCCCAACCGGTCGTAAGTCGAGGACTAAACCGGTTGTAAGTTGAGGATTAAACAGGTTGTAAGTTGAGGACTAAACCGGTTGTAAGTCGAGGACTTTCCCTGCCCGGGAGTGCCGTGCATGCGTGGTGCCGCTCCCTGCGCTGGCCGAGGCATAGCTGGCAAGCGGCAGAGACGGAGCAGGCCGACCACCGGTTGGGCCACCAGCTGGCCCAGCCAAAGGGAGGTAAGGCACCCACCAGAAAAGGGGGAAAAAATGGCGGACAGCCTTGAGAACCGCTGTACTAAAAGAAATGGTATCTTTTTTTAGGAAAGCAATGGTAGAAAATTATGCCTACAATTTATGCTGATAAACACACTGGCAAAAAACATTTCTTAATAAAATTTGAAAGTCCTGAGGATCAGAAATGAGCAGCGGGCGGAGT